TCAGACTCTTGGGAGCACTACCCCGGCTCTCCCGTGCTGCTCGCCTGGCCGTCCGCGCTGGGGACATTCCTGCGCTTTCTTATCTGCATATCTTCATCCTGAAAGGAGGAAAAAAAGGAGAAAAGCACAGATTCTTCAGTATCCTCTCTGAGCTGGAGAAAATCTAGCCTCTTCCCCTCCATCCCTTCTTTGTCCACCAACCACTACCCACTACAGATCAGCCCAGCAAACAAAATCTTGACACCATCACTCCAGCTCCTGGCTCAGAGCACTGAAGCCATCACAGATCCCCACGTGGGCACCTGCCCAGGCCGGGCACCTTCCCAAACCATTCACCTGCTCCCACTGAGAAACTCAGCTCATGTCCAACACCACAGGCAGCTCCACCTTTTAAACCTGCTGGCCACTCTAGCTGGAGTAAGAAGAGCTGGAAGACAACCCTCCCGAGCTTTGCTTCTCAGGCTGCGGGCAACATCAGGAGAAGTCTGGCCTCACAGTGCAGGTTTTCCTCAGGGTGGACCTGAGGTCCCACAGAATCAAGGAGCTTTGGTCATAAGGGGCTTCTGGAGAGTGTAACACCATTTCTGCTCGAAGCAGGGCTAGCTCCAATGCTAGAGCTGGTTCTTCAGAGCATCCCTTTGGTTTTCAAGTTATCTGCAAGGATGGAGTTTCCACCAGTTCCCTGCCCAGCCTGTGGCAGTTCCCAGCTGTGCTTACTGGGAAATAATTCCCCTTGTACCCACTCAGGACTTCCTTTAGCACAAGTTGTGCCTGTCACCTCTTGTCTTTTTGCTGCGCCTCTCCAATGTTGTCCTCTCCACAACCACCCAGCAGGCAGCTGCAGACAGGACTCACATCCTCCCTTCACCTCCTCTCCTCCAGGCTGGAGGAAGCAGCTCCCTCAGCCTCTCCTCGTCAAGAGCTGAATGCTCTCCAGCCCTGAACCTCCTTCACAAGCAAAACCTTGGAGCTACGTGGCCACGTTTTCACCCTGGCCAGGTTTTGACACACACAGCACCACTGTGGATGCCTGACCTCAACAGGGTCAACACGCAACATCAAGTGTCTGCACGACACGAGAAGCAAACTCATCTCTGCACAGTTCTCCTCAGCAAGTCCCTTCCAGGTGCTCCTCTCAGTGTCCTTCCTGACACCCCCACCGCACACCATTCACACGGGACTCAGCAATGACACAGGCACTGCCTGTTCCCAGGGCACCTCCTACCGAGTCAGAGTCTTCTTCAACCTGGCTGCTTGTGAAATTGATATAATCATCCTTCTGGGTGTCCAGAATTTCTTCCTCATACTCAGTCTGGTAGTCTGACTCATCTGCAAAGAGAAGAGAGAAAAAAACACGGGGTTCAACCAGGACTCGGAGGTGGAAAGTGCTGGAAGAGCAATGGTAGGTGTCTCTGTTGGTGCAGGGCAGGGTGACTGCTGGCCAACTCCACAGCTGAGGGAACTGGGACTGCTCAGACACAGAGATGGGCTCTCCAGCCAGATCACAAAATAAACCACATCCTGTATGTGAACTGGTGTCCTGGAGGTCTCTAGAATCTAAAGAGCCTGGAGCAAGAGCAGTGAGATACAAATTGTCCATGTTGTTCTGGTGGGTGCCAGCTGCCCAGCACAGCGCTGGCAATGGGGAGATGATCCCACTTCCCCGTGAATGCTCCTCACAGAACAGTCGCTGTCTCCCACCCCTCAGTCCAGACCAGACCTGCAGGAAACCTTCAGAAGACATGCCTAGGAGCTACCAATCCAAGCTCCCTGGACATACTGGTCACAGACTCACTGGAAATGGGGACTTCCAGGCACAGGGTGAGCTCTTGCTGGTGTGGAGATGATAATTATGCGTCTCACAATCTCTGGTCCACAGGGGACAGTGACATTTACATTCCCCTCCTTCTCCAGAGGGGACAATCACCTGCTCTCTCTGCTAATCCAGCAGATTAACATAATTTAGGGAAGCTCAAGAGCTGTGCACCCTGCAGAACAGCAGCAGGACACGCCACCAAGCCCCCAGTACCAAAGCCCAATCCCAAGGAACGAGATCCATCAGTGCAGAGTCAACATCTCTTCCAGCACCTGGAGATCACTCTGGGGTGTGTAGAACAGGAGAGTCACCTGCTAAGGGGACTGACCCCCTCCCACATCAACTCAACACTCAATTAATGGGCAGATGCCCATCATCAGCCCCAACATGCCACCACAGAGCCCCATCCCACCTGAGCATGGAGCCAAGGCAGGGAAACACAGCACGAGGGAGATGGTCACCTGCCTTCTGCACACCTTCTGGTGGGTGCTTTTTCAGAACACAAGTTAACGCGTTAAAATGGCAGAAAATCTTTGGGTTTGGGTTGGTTTGGGGTTTTTTTTTTTGACGCTGGGTTTTCTGCCACTTCCATGAGTTCACTCAAGTGGGTTTGGAGATGCTGGAGCAACACCTGGTTTTCAGCCCACTAGTGAAGAAAGTGGCTCGTGTTTAAACCGGATTCTTGCTGAAGTATTTCTTCTGGGAACAGTCAAGAGCATCTGCTCCAGGCTGAAGACAACAGCACAGTTTGTTCCACAGCATTTTCCTCTAACACAATAACTACAACCAACTGCTGAACATTCGGATTAAAGACACTGGGTCTCTTTTTTTTTAATTATTATTATTTTTTAACTGTGAATTGGAGAATTCTCCTTAGTTGATACCAAAACCACAACTGATAAATCTTTGATCAAACACACCAGAGAAACTGGAAATTCATCTGAAGAGCAACACACAGCACTAACAATAGTTTGTGGTTTACAGCTCCACCAAAACAAACTTACCCTCAAAAACCAAACTCCTCGGTTTTTCCAAGCACTGTTCAGTCTTTATACAGATAATAAAGAAGGAGAGAAAGGTGTCACTTCTCACATCCTTCACACAGCAGCTCTGGGTGCTGGAGGACTGATGGGTGACATCTTTGCCTGAAGGACAGGATGCCATCCAGAGGGACAGTTAATGACAGAACAAGGGGAAATGGGTTTAAACTGAAAGAGGGGAGGTTTAGATGAGATATTAGGAAGAAGTTCTTCACTGTGAGGGTGGTCAGACACTGGCCCAGGTTGGCCAGAGAAGCTGTGGCTGCTCCTCCCTGGAAGTGTTGAAGGCCAGGCTGGATGAGGCTTTGAGCAACCTGGTCTAGTGGAAGGTGTCCCTGCTGCTGGCAGGGGAGTTGGAACTGGATGAGCTTTAAGGTCCCTTCCAACCCAAACCAGTCTGGGATTCTATGAAAAGGTGGTTGAGTTTCTTCTCCACTCTTGAGCAAACTGAGACCAACGATTGAAACAATTAAAAACAAAAACCTGGAAGTTTTTGTTGGAAAAGGGAGGGGATTTCTGAGGACCAAAGTCACACAGGCTCTTGGGTGATCCAACCTGGCCTTCAACACTTCCAGGGAGGAGCAGCCACAGCTTCTCTGGGCAACCTGGGCCAGTGTCTGAACTGTTTTCTCCCTCAAGAAGATACAGCTTCTGACCTGGAGGAAGACTCAGAAGGTGTCAAACGTTTCACCCTCTTTGACAGTGCTGTTTCACAGCCAGGCTACCGAGTTGAGTCACCATCCCTGGAGGTATTTAAAAGACGTGTAGATGTGGTGCTGAGGGACATGGTTTAGAGGTGGACTCAGCAGTGTTGGGCTTATGGTTGGACTCAATGATCTTAAAGGTCTTTTCCAACCAAAACGATGATTCTGTGAAACCCAAAGTCTCACCAGCATGTATGAGGAACCACCTGACAGTCATGAGGCCACTGTCAGGGAGGTGTCACCCTCCATCTGAGCTCACCTTGGGACAGATGGCTTCCCCTGATACCTTCAGATACCTCTTTATCCACAGTGATGCCACTCCAGAGGCACCAAGGTGATGCCACGTTCAGAGGAATGCCTTTACAGCTACTGTCCATGGAAAAACAGGCAAGGTCCCTGCAGGCAGTGCATGGAGTCACCCACAACATCAGTATAAAAAGTCCTTCAAGCCATAGCACCCACGTGCACAACTCTCTCCTGCCATCCTCCCATCTCCTCTGGGGTCTCTACAACCAAGAGCTTTCAGCATCCACAAGGAGCACAGGCCCCCTCAGCCCCAAATGCACTTTATCTACTTTCTGAAAGACTGTTCTCCTCATGTTCATGACCTCACCCAGCAGAAAGCAGGTCCTGCTAACGGGGACAACCAACCAGGAACTATAGAAGGGAGAAAGATCTGTCCCAGGACACTGGTGACATCTCAGCAGGTCTCAACGCCCACGCCTGAAATAACCACGACACACGAGTTCTTCATTCTTATTCACAATGGCTGGTTCAAGCACATTTGATTAATATTTCCTTCATAAGGCGTATGATCGCAATTAGCATTTCAAATTACCACCGGGACATCTCTGCAAACAGTCAGCAGATGGGAGGACTGCTAACTTTAGATTTCCCTCTGCCAGAAGAAGAAATGGGGAGGAGGGGAGGGAGAGACTGTTTCTGAAGAGCTCTGGCACTGGAGATTTCAGACCTGCAAAGCTCTGATGTTGTTTGGTGAGCTGGTTACAGCGTGTACAGGGAACTGCTCCACGGGCCACGGCTGAGGCATGAGGGACTCGAGTCCCTTCATGTGAAGATGCAGGAGCTGTAACTGGTTCCTCATTAGCACTCACCAGTGCTCCCCCCAACCAGGAGCGTACGAAAAGTGATGGAGCCAGTGAGTCACTCCAGATCCTACTCACAACAACGGGGCAAAACTCCTTCAATCAGCCTCCTCCTACCTCAAAAGGACACGGACCAAAGGGTGAAGCCATCGCAAGGACACGAGTCGGCACAAGGGGAATGGGAACCTGTCTTTGCAGGAGTCACCACGTGTGTTATTTCACTCAGATGAGGTTCACTTGAGTCAGGATTATTCCCACCAGGAAACCACATCAGACCACACCAGTCACGGGCTGGCAGCAAATGTCTCACCATGGCAGGAAGACCCAACTCCCAACCTTCTCCCAGAGGAGGCACATGGAGGGTCCGGCTTGGGACAAGCTCGGGGACATGAGCAGGCAGTGAGTGGCTCTGGATGAAGCTGGGGGACAGCCCCTGCTGCTGGCTGTGCTCCACAGACACCAGAGCCAACAACCAGCCCTGAACCACCACGATTCCCAGCACGGGGTGTTAGAAGAAAGCAGTTAGACAAGGCACATGGGAGAAGCAGCCGTCCCTGCCTCGCTGCCCTTCCCAACGCTTCCGTAGCACCGGCGGGATCACCCAACTCACCATCTGCCACGGGCGCTTTCACCGGCTCGATCCTGGACACAATTTCTGCCAGATCCGTAAAAGAGGTGGTGGGACAGGTCACGTTCTGAAACACAGCAATAAGTTTTAGGTACGTTAACAAATATACACAAAAAAATCCCAACAATTCAAGATGATGAAAGCTCCAGAGACAAATTCTCCACGACTGTCCCCTCCAAAGCCATCACTCATCAATCAGTGAGTCATTCACAAAACAACTCTCCCGGTGAAGCTCTGCTGGCAGAGATGTGATTCCCAAGTGCAAACAGTGGGACAACCTCTAATGGCTCCTTCTCCAACCATGTGACAAGGAGCCTTATTAAAAATTTAGCAAACTACAGAGAAGACCACAAAGCTGAGAAGCAGCAGCTCTGGGACAGCCAGTGCTCGTTTGACTTGTTTCTCCTCCATCACTGTTGGTTTATAAGAGGGATCAGCCAGGCCAGGTGCAGCCCCCAAGGAGCTTTCACCTTGGGTGCAGGAGAAGGGGCCCCAGTGCCCATGTGGGACCCGGCACATGGGCCAGCCCCAGAGCGATGCCACGGGAGGCTGCAGGGACAGGCAGCAGCAGCCCAGGCACTGGGGTGACCCAGGTCCCCCGTGGGGACCCTGCCAAGCCATGGAGCTGGAGGTGCTGCAGGGATCAAGGGTCTGAGGTACATGACCCACCTGCAAGGAGAAATATTTCCCACTGCAATCCCTCTTCTCAATAAACCTTTTCTATTTCCACTGTCTCACCCAAGCAGTGGGTTGAACGTTCTCTATTTTGAGAAGTTACCTGCTCCAGTTTCTCCTCTAATAAAGCCCAACTTTGGCATTTAAGAACCATTTCGGTCTCCCCACATGCCAGGCTGTGAGCAGCCCAACCTGACTCCTCAGGGCCAGGCACAAAGGTCACCAAGATAGAAACCTGGACACCCCTCAGCTTGTTTTAAAACCAAGTGATTTTAATTAGGACAAGAGCACATGTCCCCAGAGGACCCGAGAGCAGGGAAGAGCTGGCAGGGGGCATCTTATTGCTGCCGGGAATTGCTGTGACAGTCATCTTATTCTAAACACCCAGACCTGTCCACGTGCTTCCAGGCAGGGCAAGCTTCCTCACACAGGGCTTTTATGAGCAATTCTTTGCTCTTCTGGCAAGAGCACTGATACTCTATGAATCATACAACCCCCGAGGGGGTCACAGCAGAAGCCCATTACAGCTGCAGCAGGTTGACCTTTAATCCATAGCTAACTTTTGATGTCATTTAGTATGGCTAAAGCAAGGTGCAGATCCAGGACAAGCAGCTGGTGGGGAGTTGTGGACACAGAAAAACCCAAGGGAATTAAAAAAATACCTGTATGAAATGAAACAGCAGTAGCTTAGGACACAGGCTTGAAAATATACAGAAGTCAGGAAGCTCAGTTTGAACGTTAAGGAACCATCAAGAAGGATGAGTCAGTCCAGTTTCATTTTGAACACCTGACCTGAATGGTCCCAGTGAAGAACATGCAGAAGGCTGTTCCTCAGGACAGGGGGAGGGGGAAAAAAAAGGAAAAAAAAAAGAAAAAAAGCATTTTGTGCCATATGACTAAGAGAGGGACATGTGCAAACGCTGGCCACCAAACAGACACAGCAATGTTGGAGGCAATCAACTCCAACAACGGGGACTCTTACAAAGTGGCTGCACCCAGTGCTCCCACTGACCCTTTCTAGGCTGTTCATGGGAACATGGAGCAGACAGGGACCAGCTTTGGAGGGGACAAAAGTCCAGGGTGCTGCACGAACAGCTGAACAAATCCTGCAGCAACTGTCACCAAAAGGTGCTTCAGGAGAAGCGGCATCAGCTCCCGCAGACCAGCTGTAAGGACAGAGGAGTGTGAGGGTGATGGGCAGCGGGAGCATCTCTCGGGGTCGCTGATGTACAGACGATCCCACGTGTAACCCCGTTAGAGGACGTCTGCCGAGGCAGCTGCACCCCAAAACCTTTGCACTGAGACTGGAACGTGACTTGTGGGATTCCAGGTGTCTTCCCACACTCGCCTGATGCTTTGTGAACAGGAATTTAATGTTTAAACACTTCCACTTGCTACTTTTAAGGACAAACACCACACTCCCATCAGTTAACACGAGGCAAAGTGTCCCAGATTCATTCAAAACCTACTCCAAAACCTTTCTGCTGACTTATTTTTTTATCAAGGAGGAAAGTATTCTCTTTGGCACAATCGTTATTAAATAAATTAGAGGAAAGACAGTTACTATTGTAGTCTGCTGGATTATATTTAGCTCCAGCTATGAATAACACTTCAGCAGACAAAACTTCCCCGAGGAGATCCAATTAATGGTACTGAATTAATCTGTGCTGGGCTGTTCAAGTGAACTTTCTGTAAGGTTCCTGTTGATTGTGTCTTCAGTATTTGTCTTTTTTGAGACAAGATAAACAGTGACTGAATGATGAAAGCAAAGGAGAAGTATCTAAATGATGAGGTATCTGGAGATTTAAAGTAAAAATTCAACGCTTACGACATGGAAACGAGATGATAAGAAACAGCCCTCAGCGCTCAGAGATGTTGAACGCTCCAGAAATAGCTGAAGAACTGAAACATAAAGAACATCAAAACCTTCTCTAATGAAAGGCAAGTTAAAAATATCGCTGTTATCCTTGGAAGATAGCAGAGCTAAAGGACTTCAGTGACTCTAATGGGCTAAGGGAGGGAAAAAAAAACAAAAGAAAAGATAAACACCGCAGCGGGAGCCTGAAAGACTTGTTATTTTATAGCAATAAAATCTACTAAAACAAAAGTCAGATGAAAAAAAAAAATCTTGTTTTTTAGCAGACTCCAGAGTTTTCAGAGGAAGAGGAGAAGACCTCCTAGGTCCTTGGGAGCAGAGTTGGAACTGAGCCTTAGCGTCAGTTTGGGGGAAGGCACAAAGCTGATGGTTCCTGCTCCATAACCCGGGAAGTTTGTTGAGTTGCCCGTTATGTTTCAACTCCCGGTGTCTCAGCAACCAGCACTTTCTACCTTGTCATCAAGCACAGCACAGAGATGCAGTGACAGGCTGTGTCTACAATCACTACGTGACATATTTGATCTCCAGGGCAGTTGAAGAGCCATAAAAACCAAAGCAGATTGTGACAAACGCTCAACGCGCTGCCTGACGCGCAGCTGTAAGATCCTGATTTAACTGAAATATTACCCTGAATTACTGTAAAATGAGCAATTTTAAAAGAAATCTTTAAACGAAGCGTTTGGTGCAGCAATGAGTATGTCTGAGCTTCTTACCAGTTGGTGATGAAAGTCAGAGGATGAAATAGGACATGTGACCATTTCTGAGACACAATTTTCTCTCCCTTGACTTCTCCTTATGACTGTTAACCCACAAACAAACACCAGCTTGTAACTAGTCTGAACCCAAGGTGTCAGAAGCAGAATGGGGACCCAACTTCTGCAGCTCAAACTAATGTATCTCCTAGTCCAGGTCATCTTCCCAGTAAGAAATAACAAGCTGAGTTGTTTTGTGGCTCCTCAGATCACCAGTTTCCCCATAAAGCTCAGTCCCTCCGTGCTCCTCCCAGAGCCACTCACCCTGCCAGGCAGCGTGGGTGGGATTCATCTGACGATGGGAACCCATCAGCGCTGATCCCCTTGGCTCCCTCCACATGGCTGGAGCCAAGGCTGCCATTCATCTTATCCCAGTGGAACCACTTCCATTTCATCAAGTGACTCACACCCTATGGAGCCTCATCTCTCTCCGATGACAAACGGGGGGGGACAGGGCAAGTGGCTCAGATGTGGGCGTCATCCACCCCTCATCGTTGGGCTAACGTCCTTCCTCTCCCCTTGCTCATGCCAACCCCCTCCAAAGAAAAGTGCTCTACCACCGACCTCTGGAAGAGCTGCAAATCCTCCCTGTCATTTGTCACCTCGATTGACTTTCCTTAGTGAGGCTCAACACAGTTATGATACATTTTGGCAACCACTTAAAATATTATCGCTCATTCCCCTCTCTGGAAAATCCAATAAAGATGAATTACTGGGGAAAACACAAAGCCTTTTGTAGCACTTGGGTTTTAAATCAGAGGAATTCAAAGGAGGGTGAGGATAATAAGCCAATAGATTATAAGATGGTACCCAAGTCCTCAAAAAAAGGTGATAACTGTTTCTTAAAAACAACTGAAACTTCCCTGCCAAGAAATTCAGCCAGCCCAGTGAGTTATGAACCAACTCTGCAGGCTGACCTCAATCCTTGAGCTGAAAACCCAGGAGAATTTTATCCTACTTTTAAGCAGAATTCTTAAGTAGAAATCTTAACGGCACTGTAACCACAGAGCAAGATGATACAGGTGTAAATTTGCCATCATCAGGCATTTACCAAACCGCACATTAACTGGGATGTGCTGCAGTGAGCAGGACAAGGTGTGTGAAACCCAGTAACCTCAACAGCGTCTGCGGAGCCTCAATGATGGCTCTAGGAAGTTCCTTCTCTAACAGAGAGGAGTGAGGAAGAAAAGCAAATCAATGGCTTTGCAGGGATGGGAACTCTTAGCTAAAAACACATCTCCAGTAAGGGTTTAATTCAGGCTTTCTGGAAGCATCTGAGAACCATTTGAGTCTCATCCTGAAAGCCAGCAATGGCAGAGATCAATGTCAGCGACCCCAATTCATGTCTTCTGTGATGAGCACCAGGCAGCTGGTGTGAGAGCCACTGCCCTGGCAGACCAGTTTCTAGTAGCAAGAACAATAACCAGGTACCACCTAAAGTTTGTGGCTATGTCTACAATTAATACAATGAATATTTGATCTCCAGGGTTGAAGGGCTACAAAAAACAAAGCAGATCGTGATAAATTGTGATAAGTAATTCTTAGAAGGTTACTTGTTCTTCAAGTATCATTCAGGGATTCAAGCAATGGGTACAAATGGGTCCTCATCACCTGAAGCCACAGCCCATCCTCTCTCACAGGACCTGTGGGGCACAGTCCCAGCCTCTCCTCTTGCACTTCATGAACAGGGAAGGTGAAGAGAAAGGTGGGTGCAGAAACGCATCCACATCAGCTGCACATCTCAGAAAATGCTGGTTATGGGGAGCATCTTGCCTTCCTTCGAGGACGTTTGTGTCGTGAACGATTCCAGGTTACAAAGATGGCATCAACAGAATGAAACAGCAACAGGAGAGCTGCCCCACAGAGTGCTACAGCGGTTCCTGGAGTTTCAGAGACCCCATGGCACTTGCTGAAGATGCGGATGGATCTCTGGATGGGCACACAGCAGGTATCAGGGATGGATAGTCAAACATCAGAGCATGGGCTCTGGCAGAGCACACCCTGGCCACACTTGCACCTGATGATCAGAGAAGTGCAGGACCTCCTTCATAACCAGGCTATGGTTCAAGGAAAGAAGTTTCTGATGAACTCATCTTACCTTTTCTTGCCTACAATACAGTTTCCACTAATACCTCCGTGCTCACAACAGACAACTGATCATTCTCCTTCCTACCCCTGCCCAGTGTCTGGGCAGGAGGTGACCTGGTGTGCATCAAGTAGCTCTTGCAGAACAGTGCATTTAACCCAGACACTTACGTCGGTTTTGGATTTGCCAGTCTCTTGTCTGTCTCTTAGCATCTTGTCAAGGACTCCACTCCTGCACCAGACATTAAATACTGTTTTCCCGTGTTGATATCCCACTTCCTGGAAAAAAAAAAGGGGGGGAAAAAGGGGGAAAAAAAGTAATTAATAGCTAAAAAACTATGGTGTCACATCTTCTGTAAATCAGTAGGAAATCTAGAGGTCCACCCCAAAGCCAGGATGTGCTTTTGCTACCTTCCACCCTCAACTACATAAGCTGTTCAGCCTAAGAATGAGGGAAACAAATCAGCAAACAAGGTGCTATTTTAAGTCCAAAGGCTAACTTGACCTTTGACCCCCCCAGTACGCAATGAAAAGTTGCCACCTGACACAACTATTTTTACAGCAGTGGCTTCAAGCAGGCTGTTCACGGAATAATGCCATATAAAGAGAAGCTCAGGACACATTACACCCTTCCAGTACTTTGGCTCTTTCTTTGGAAGAAGATAACACCACAAATTAATTTGTGTCTTCTCCCCTCTTGGCTCAAAAACAGCCAAGAAAAGAAAACTTCTCTAGTAAAGAAAATCCCAGACTGGTTTGGGTTGGAAGGGACCTTAAAGCTCATCAAGTTCCAACCCGCCTGCCAGCAGCAGGGACACCTTCCACTAGACCAGGTTGCTCAAAGCCTCATCCAGCCTGGCCTTCAACACTTCCAAAAAAGTTACTCTATGACATCCAGTCCCAAAATCTCTTGCAGAATTAAGCCAGAAAGCACTGAACACGCAAGCATCAGTTTGCTGGAGCAGAAATGACAGCCCATGGACAACACCAAACTCCATGTTCCTCTCATTTAAAAGCATAATTTGCATTTGGAATGACAACATGGCACTGGGCCATTAGCATGGAAACAACTGGGGAAAAAAAATTGCCTCAAGTTTTACTCTTTTTCTAACAAGACAGTAGAAATGGGGTTGAAAAATCCAACTGAAAGGACACGGCAACAGGTGTCAGGAGTCCTGGATCCTATTTCCAGCCCTCGCGCTGGCAACACGCGCTAAACCTCAGGCTTGGGTGGCAACTCTGAGTGGTGGAAGCAGCCCTGGCTGAGCTGGTATCCTCTCTCCTCTGGATTTTGGACAAGGAGGCACTCAGGTTGGAATTCAGCTCTCATAATCTACTGTAGCTTCTCAGCCCAGGGTGGATGCAATTATTCAGGAGGAAAACTTGATGGATCAACCAGTTAGAATGAGTCCAGAGGAGGCCACCAGGATGACGCGAGGGCTGGAGCAGCTCTGCTGTGAGGACAGGCTGAGAGAGTTGGGGCTGTTCAGCCTGGAGAAGAGAAGGCTCCGGGGAGATCTTATAGTGGCCTCCCAGTACCTGAAGGGGCTACAAGAAAGCTGGGGAAGGACTTTTCATAAGGGCAGTTAATGACAGAACAAGGGGAAATGGGTTTAAGCTGAAAGAGGGGAGGTTTAGATGAGATATTAGGAAGAAGTTCTTCACTGTGAGGGTGGTGAGACAGTGTCCCAGGTTGCCCAAGGAAGTTGTGGCTGCTCCTCCCTGGAAGTGTTCTCGGCCAGGCTGGATGAGGCTTTGAGCAACCTGGTCTAGTGGAAGGTGTCCCTGCTGCTGGCAGGGGGGTTGGAACTGGATGAGCTTTAAGGTCCCTTCCCACCCAAACCAGTCTATGATTCATCTACAACTGGCTGGGTCAGGTGGATCCAAAATAACTGCGAGAACCTGAGCTTTGGGAAAGGACACGCAGCCAACTCACCACTCTAGGCTGATAGAGAAAAGGGGTTTGACAAGAAGAGGGGATTTTTGTTCTTTTGAATGTGTGGAATGGTTACAAGGTGTTCATTCCTATTTTCTGTGAAATCCAGGTATGTAGCTGGAATAAAAACCCTCACTACTTCATAGGCTGTAAGGGTAAAGCAATGACAAGGATGCCCTTTCCTTGGAGGTCAGAACACTTTGATGCTTCCCTGTGGACAACAGTTATATGAAAATCCAGGAGGGTGCTGCCCCTCCAGCCCTGCACTGGCTCACGCCAAGAACTTGAGAAAAGTGATTTTTTTCTGTGAGCAAGTTTTATTCCACTGAGAAAAATTTGCCTGACGTCTTTTAAATCTCTTTAACGACACCAAATTAGACAGAGCCAGAACAATGATTTGACAGCTTACTATCTGTTACTGAGATGAACTACCAGACCCCTTCATCAAGGTTTTCCAAATGGCCAGGGCACTCCATCTAGCGAAGAATATTATGTTCAGCAAAGTCTTAGATCCACTGTTGGCAGACAAGCACTGTTTGCCCAGGAGCTGTGAGACACCAAATATCCTTGAGAAAATATTTATACTGGGGGAAATCAGCTGGTGGTTTGGAATAGCTGCTGTCTGGTCTGAAGGACTCTCTCTCAGATGCAAATCTGCAGGGTTTAATGGTGTTACTGGTTTTTGTTTAGTATTTATGAGACAGTGTGACAGAAATCAACCTGCAGACTAATGACTATTGCAGGTTGTCACCCCATCTATAAAGGAGATCAACCTAAAGGAAAACTGGTGGTGGGTTGGTTTTTTTTTCCTTCCAGCCTAGGAGAAGAGCAAATCTATGCAGAAACACCTGAAGATGGAAGATGTTTGCATGGCTGAAGGAGGTAAAGAATGGAAAGAGACAGTAAAATAACTCCCTTGACAAGAGAAATTGAGCCAGAATTGCTGTCGTTACCTCAACCTGGACAGAGATGGTTTTTGTTATAAATGCTGAATTATGTCAATAAGACAATTCAACTGCACATCTGGAGTCAGTTCTTCCCGTACTGCTTTCGGATACATACACAAAACTAAATCCCAGAGAGGTGTAACCTGGTCCTACCCTTTGGTAACCTGGTCCAACCCTTTGGTAACCTGATCCAACCCTTTTCACAACGTCCTTCCGCTGACATTGGTGCCATCTTCCTGATACTCTATCAGGTGCTGAGGAATTGTGGATGATATGTTTTATTAATAGAAGTGTTGAAATGTTAACCGAGCCAGATATTTTAGCACGTTGCCCTCCATTTCAGTGATCCACAGTCTCCCCTACAGACTTCTCCTTCAAATCTTCCATGAGACAACAAGCCACGTAATGAAGGGAGAGAAGCGACACCACTTGACAAACCCCAACTGCCCAAAGCAGCTCAGACACCCAAGAGCTTTCACCGAGCAGCTGAGCAAGAACTGTCATGACACAGAGCGAGGCAAACTGACCCATTCACAGGTCATTAGAGAAACAAGATTACTAACTCGATTGCTGCTGCTAATCCAATCTCACAGTCGTGATATCATTCCACAGCATTATTACACATTAACTACTCGCTCTGTGCCAACTGACTTCTCTGACTCTCCAACAGCTCAGGCACTAATTAGCACCACAAACCAGGTTTCTGTGGAATGGGAATACAAAGGGAAATGCCTTTCCCAGGAGGCACTTACACAGATTTCATCGAATTTCCCAAACTCCAGGGTTCCGTAGCGGTCAATGGGCGGTCGGATATACTCGCAGTAATCACTGTTCTTCACCATCTCCAGCTGCCGCACGCAGCACACGTACGCGAGCCGCGTCTGGATCTCTGCCATGTTCAGCACCTGTCAACCAGGCCAGACACACCAATCATGATTAATTCAGAAATTGCATTTCTGAATACGTTCTGGTTTCAGAATGGAGAACAAGCAAGTTATCTCGCAATTGTTTATTGGGTTTTTTTTCCAAGAAGCCTGCTGAAGCCTTCACGTATCAGCACCTCCATCTGTTTCCCAGGCAGTGTGGACAGCTAGATGATGAGTCTCCATAATCCACAGCAGAAAAAGAATTGCCTTCAAACATATTTCTGCAGTTCAAGGGTGAAATCAGTATTTCATTCCAAGGATATAGTTGTATCTTAAGAGAGAGAGAGATCTGTGCTGAGGTGAGAGGGGCACAGCGATCCTTCACAGCAGAAATCAGTGATGACCTCTATGGTACCAGGGCAGAATGGTTGAGGTTGGCAGGGACCTCTCCAGATCATCTACTCCAACCCTCCTGGCTCAAGCAGAGTCAGCTGGGACAGGCTGTCCAAGACCATGTCCAGCTGAGTCTCCACAGATGGAGACTACAGAATCTCTCTGGTTGGCCAGTGCTTCACCACTCTCAGTAAAAACCACGTTTTCTGGTGTGTGGAGGAAGTAATCCCTCGTTTCCATGTGTGCCTATGGCCATTTGGGCAGTTGCAATATTTCACTGAGCAGAGTCAGGGTCTTCCATTTCCCCCCCTCAAACATTCCCACAACATGCTGGGAGCAGCACGGTCAATTCTGGCAAGGCAGAGCAGCGCACTCCACAGCTGCACCAACTCTAAAAGGTCACTTCTCAGGGAGGTGAGACCTTTCCAGGGGATGGGAGTTATTATAGAGGAAAAACTTCAGATTACAGAGCAGTACCCACAGCTTCTAGTATTTTCCCTACCTTTGGGAAGCACAAACAAGTATTTTACTTTCAGTTCCAACAGAGGAACATGTTAATTGTAGTTGGAAGGGAAGAAGAAAAAACAGCATTCACTTGGGGGGCAGCTGCAGAGCCTGGTAATGTAGGAAATGCAGAGTGTGTAACAAAGTTGGCATGACTGCATGCAACAAAGAGGAAAGAAATAAAATTACACTCTGCAGCCGCGTGTTTATCAGTAGCAGTAACATCAGTTACTGCCTGGTGCTGAAATCTCCCTAAATCAACAGTTCAGAGACATACAGGATAGAAACACTGAATTACTTTTAGTGGTAAAATTAATAAATTCTGATTTTATTAAAACTTACTGCACCTCTAAGAAAAGGTTTCATTGCTTTAACAATTCCACCACCCCCTTCCCAGACCAGAGGCTCTACCCTCTCCCATCTCACTGCCCTTCCTTTGGTGTCAGGGCACTGCTCAGCTTGTTTTGTCCACGAGTAAGAGCTCAAACTGATGAAACAGGATGGTTTCTCACCAGGTTGGCTCCCTGAATGAACAAGAGGAAGCTCCCAGCTCTGTACATAAAACCAGCTGCCATTTTAACACAGTCTACAATACCTTGACTTTCTTGGCCAGTGGATTCCACCTCTTCCAGAGCAGCCACCAGCCAGACAAGCAGTCACCATAGTTGGTGAGATCTGTCTCGTCTCGGCTCCCCACGTCGATCGCGATCACCACTTTGGCACCCATGGACCTCGCAACATCAGCTAGTGGGAAAGAAAGTGACATCAGCACCAGTGCCACCAACCTTGCTGCTGCTCATCCAAAGTTCACATTCACACTGCTGGGGAGGGGGGCAGACTTTTTATAAGGGCAGTTAGTGACAAAACAAGGGGAAATGGGTTTAAACTGAAAGAGGGGAGGTTTAGATGAGATATTAGGGAGAAATTCTCACTGTGAGGGTGGTGAGACACTGGCCCAGGTTGCCCAAGGAAGTTGTGGCTGCTCCTCCCTGGAAGTGTTCTCGGCCAGGCTGGATGAGGCTTTGAGCAACCTGGTCTAGTGGAAGGTGTCCCTGCTGATGGCAGGGGGGTTGGAACTGGGTGATCTTTAGAGGTCCTTTCCAACCCAAACTATTCTATGATTCTATAATATAACCTGATCTCTTACCTACCACGAGTGTCCCTGAACAGCCTCAGATATCAACGTTGGCACCAACTCTGCAGAGAGACCGTTTCCCTGGGGAGGCTCCTACCCCACTTGCTCCATTTCAACAGAGAGATCCCAGTGTGCTGCCTGCTCCACACTCACCAAGCCCCTGTCTAACCTCATTGCTGACCTGCTGGGAAATATCCCTTACTGGGTATATTTTCCCCTGGATCAGCAGGATGACCTGACTCTCTCTGAGGCCACGCTGTCACCAGCACCAAGGTGAAGACAACAGGAAAACAGGATGGCAGGGAGTGGGGGAGAGGAGGTGGGACACACACAGCTCAGGTCCACAGTTCCACCACATCAGGTATAAAGTGGAAGGGCACGTTAAACCCACATTAATTCTGCCTCGTGCGGCATTTCTCCTGAGAACAAAAGATCTGGGGGACCTGTAGAGAGAACACGTGGCAATGGCCTTCAAGAGGAGAGTCAGCAGTGCTGGTGTCACCCTGCAGATGGAAATAATAACACAAAGGAGCAGCACAGGAACCAGAGGCTGGGAGGACTGCAGCCTGAGAAAAGCTTTGGGATCCAAGGGAGATACGTATTTGGAAGCAGGAGAGAAATGAGGCAACACTTCCGACTTCAAGGTCAGTAAAAGGACTATCTGCAGCCTTTGGATATGGGCAGGGATTTAGGGAAGTGCCAAGGGAAGGAAGAGAAGGATGTGCACCTCACAGAATGAATTTAGATTTCTTCCACACCCCCAGAGTCCAAGATAGTTGCAGTTTCCAGAATAGTTGTGCGTAGGAAAAGCACCGCTCTAAAGAGCCAATTTAGATGCTTAATTTAGACACTTATTTAAATCACATCTGTTCTGTAACTTGGATTTATACTCCTGGGCTCGTTCAGTCTATTGCACCTTTTCCACCCAGTGTCACCCACATGTGGGCTCTTTGTCCTCTCCAGTATGTGCAGGTGGAAAATCAAAGAATCATAGAATCCCAGACTGGTTTGGGTTGGAAGGGACCTTAAAGCTCATCCAGTCCCAACCCCCCTGCCAGCAGCAGGGACACCTTCCACTAGACCAGGTTGCTCAAAGCCTCATCCAGCCTGGCCTTCAACACTTCCAGGGAGGAGCAGCCACAGCTTCTCTGGCCAACCTGGGCCAGTGTCTGACCACCCTCACACCAAAGAATTTCTTCCCAATATCTAATCTAAACCTCCCCTCTTTCAGCTTAAGGCTGAAAAGGTTCCTCAGTTTGCAATTCATCCTTTTCCTTACAGACACAAACAGAGAACGTCAGATGCAGATTTTGAGGGTCCATTTTGTGTTATTTCCATTTATGGTTTTTTAGGCAAATACAGCCCTGATAGAAAAATACAGTCTGGGTTTCTCTTGAACACATACATAAATTTAGGTTGCTCAGATGCAGAGTCTCGAGCTTAGATTCCTCCCTCTTCATTTGTACACTATCAGCATCACAAACTGCCATGACACCACATGTCTCTGTTCTCTCCTGGCCACCATCCTGAGCCACCCACCTCCCAGTGCTTTCTGACTGCAACGACAACCCTGACATGAAGCACATCCCAAACACACAGCAGTGAACTCACACACCTCCAACCCTTTTGGGTTCATTCCTCAGAACACCCCAAACTCCACATCAACCTTTTGAACTTCACGTGATGCCACCTCTGCCACGTGTTAGCAGCTCACCAAGACACTGCTGCCTGTCACCTGAACCCTTCAGGCTCTGGTGACACCAGTCTGAACAACAAAGAGTTAATGCTGTTGCTTTCTCAGAATTATTTCTTATGCAACTGATACTTTTTGAAAAGAAACTCAAAGGTAGACTATACACTCGCAGTTTAATTTCTGCTCTCTCCTTTCACTGAGCACTAAAACAAATTCAAAATTAGCTTGGAATTATATGTGCAGAATATGCCTATTAGGAAATAGTTCATAACAAAAAATAGTCTTAATAAAGCCATGATAAAGCAAAGACCTAGGAAATTTGAGACCAATGACTCCGGGGAACCATCGTGAGATTAAAGGTGTCTGCAATATTTCTCCTTGTTTCCTTTTTTAGGTTAAAAATAAATAAATAAATAAATTTGCAGGCTGTTTTGACAGGTTGTGTTCTCAGGAACTTCTTCCCAACTGATCTGTGCACCTACCAGGAAGATTGTTGATATAACCTCCATCCATCAAGAGATGTCCATCCTTCGGGTCACAGAGAGGAGGCATGTATCCAGAGAGGGACATGCTGGCACGGACATACCTCCACAGAGAGCCTGTGGGAATGAGAGGGAGGGAATGGCAACAGCATTAATTACTGCCACAGAGAGGGGGGAGGGGTAGGCTTTTGCACTCATTAAAATAATCAGGAGATAGAGGCTCTCGTGAGAATAGTGTTATGAAAGTTATTAAAGCAGTTTATTATTTTCTATACCGTAATCCTGGCGGGGAGGGGGAAGGTTACTCAGATACACTATCAGGCAAAAGACTTGGAAACCACAGCTTGAAGCTCATGGTTTATATTTATTGCCTTGGAGGAGATTTCAGCACATGCCTGACTGCGGGGAGCATCTTCAGAGCTTTGTTGAGGTTACACTGATAAAGGAAAAGGCTTCTCCTGGGGACAGAGGCAAAGGAAGAATCAGCAGTTGGAAGCGCAGTCAGAGCCATTCTGTTCTACAGAGATCCACAAAGCCCAGACTTTTAGCAGGAGCTGAACATGAAAAACAGGCTGGAAAAGCCCCAAAATTCTGTTTTCCCTGCTTTGTAATAAGCAAACATTTCCTCTTGTGAAATCAGTGCAAGGGCATGGTGGCAACCTCATCTCTTCTTAGGATGCTTCTGTTAATAGTGCTGTAAGGAAGAGAGTGACAGTCTTTCGAGCTGTTAGAAACTTCAATCAAGTAGAAATTGGTTGGATCTGTTTCCTGTAAAACATTCTGCCTTAAGGCTCTTTTTTTACTGGTTTCTCTCTCAGCATTTGCATCAACTGAACTGGGAAGACGCTGCATTTCCAAAGAGGCCAAGAGTCTCATCTGAGAAGTGAATCTTTAAAAGTATCAAAAATAAATAAGACTTGCAGTGGTAGCTCACTTCTCCCTAATTAACTACTTGGTTCTTCAAACATTAATTCCCAGTTTGCTGCAAAGAATTACTGATCTATTTTCTTTTGAAAATATCATAGAATCCCAGACTGGTTTGGGTTGGAAGGGACCTTAAAGCTCATCCAGTTCCAACCCCCCTGCCAGCAGCAGGGACACCTTCCACTAGACCAGGTTGCTCAAAGCCTCATCCAGCCTGGCCTTCAACACTTCCAGGGAGGAGCAGCCACAGCTTCTCTGGCCAACCTGGGACACTGTCTCACCACCCTCACACCAAAGAATTTCTTCCTAATATCTAATTTAAACCTCCCCTCTGCCAGTTTCAAGCCATCACCCCTTGTTCTGTCACTCCCTGCCCTTGGCCAAAGTCCCCCCCCAGCCTTCCTGGAGCCCCTTCAGGCACTGGAAGGTCTCTAGAAGGTCCCCCTTACATGTAACAGTTCTTTTTCTAATTATAACCTAAGCTCTCCTACTGTTCAGCAGAGGTCAATAGTGGCTGATTTGGGTTTTATCATTAATAGTTTTAGTTGAATTGGAACTTCCACCCAAGAAAAATGCTGACTTCTTGTGTTACACCCCACAGATGAAACCAAGATGGGCAACTGCAGACACTGGGAACTTCCTTCATCTCCTTTCAATGAATTCTGGATTCAACCATAACCATTCTCCAGCTGATTTCTAACCTTACATTAAACTTCTGTGGGGACGAGCAGCTGGATGGAGTGATTTTCCTGACCCAAGTTGGCTTAACCTGCTGCAGAATGGGAAATACAGGATCTCTGAGAAAGGTTCATCCTTTGCCTGCTTGTTTTAGGTCTCTTGGCTGTCCTCAGTGAACAAAGCCCCCGTGTCAGGATAATTTAGTGGTTCTGTAACTCACACTCTAATAGCCAGAATG